GTTTTCTGATGATTATGCAAATTTTAGACCAACAGAATTTAATCAAATTAATTGTACATATAATCTTTGTAACAGTACTCGTATACTAAAAGGAACTACAGTGGACTCTAACTATATTGCCACTAAGCATATTGTCACGCGTGGCACTTCCCCTTCACATGTACTTTCTCGAGCACACAAATTCGTTCTCCCACCAAATTGCGTCCGCCGGCGCATCAGACGATCCAACTGTTGCGCAGACGCTGAGGTCAAGGCTATGACGATAGAACTTAGCATGGAGGGGGCTCTGAACTCATTGCCATTTTACACCCCTACAGTCTCGACCACGGCAATGTAGTTAGAGTCCACTGTACCTTTATGGACAGCCCAAAATAGCATATGACATTTAGCCATATTTAGTGGATTAAATTCGTGTAGGTAATTAATGATCCCTATTTATCAACCATAACATTATTATTAGAAACATTATGCGTTAGTTTCGTACTTATATATGGAATAAAATATTCATTTGAAATAAAACCTTTCATTTTTTAAGGATCTTTGTATCACTTTATGAAAATAAAAATTAAAAAATATTTTTTAGTTTCATTAAATGAAACAAAGATACTTAAAAAATGAATGGTTTCATTTAAAAAAAATATATATTAATTATGTTTGCATATATAAATTAACATGGGCGGCGATACTGTTTTCGCACCCGGACGGAAAACAACCCAGGATTAGCCCTAGTGCTGCGTAACAAATCATTCGAATAATATGATCTGTTTTTGAAAAATTGTGTTGACAGTAATACAAAAATATAACTTTGAGAATAACCCCATGACTTAAAAGTCAGCTCCATAAAACCTCGAAACAATTTCTTTATAACATAACAACGATAAATTAACTCATTCTTAACAATTTCTTATCTTCAATAACTCGAATTACACAAGAAATATATTAGAACAAAATCATTTGGTGCAAGAATACCAATCAGTTTATTCATACACTTGCAATGAAAATATATTTAAAAATATCTTTATTCATATTTGGTGTGAAAAGTGTGTAATGAATCTTGAAAACATAATGCATATACGATATTTTTCGAATTCATTCTTTTAATATAACTGTTGTACTATTATTAGTAAAATCGTAGAACGTTTTCCTAATAAATTTATGTTTATATTATTTTCAGTCAAAACTTATTTATGAATGTATACACTAAATTCATTATAATAACATATAATCATGTCTTTAATGCAAATGTACATATGCATACATGTTTTAAATGTAAAAAAAATGTGATGATTCCTAAATATTTTCTTTTTTTACAGATATTATATACATTCAACGTGAACGTATGGAAATAATAAATTCATTTGAATGAATTATTTAAATTACTAATAAATTATATAAATTATTTATATAACAAAAAGACACTGGACATATATGTCTGTTATTCTTGGGGCCACAATAAAGAAGCATTCTTCCTTTTCAAAAATAAAAATATTCGTTTTGTCAAAATTGGAAAGTATCGAAGATATTTCCGCTTCCTCTGAATTCTTCGGTAGCTGCTACTGGGATAAATGTGGATAAAACAAGAATCTGGACGACACCATCGTGATATACGACTGTTTGTCCAGATTAGACCCGACAAAGGAGACTGTTCTCTCTTCTTGACTGTGTCTTGATTTAAGCGAAGCGCCCCGTATTTACTCTAGATTAAATGGAGTTTCATGGTACAAGCTACTACGTCCTCTCCGCGATATCTCCTACGCTACACTAAACTACTGTATATTGTACATTGTATTCATAACGTGTTCTATGGGTGAAAAATATCATGAGAAAAATCCTCGCTATCTTCCTGCACGTGCACATTCGCGACCGTTTAATCAGATCTAAAGTGTGCAACGGAACATCAGCAACATTGTGTATTACAGCACCATTACGTTCCTTCTTTTTTTCATCATTTCAATTGCAAATTTAATCATTTACAATTTATTGAAACGAATACATAATATTTCCAACTGTGTATCTAATTATAAAAACACGGTTGAACGTGATTCAAAGTCATTCTCAAAAAATTCATACCGTTTCGTGCTGGACAAACGATAAATTGGTAACAGTTACCAAGATACTCATCGACGAAGCCTCATACATCATGTTTCATTATTGGAGTTATACACAAGGGATCCCTGGAGCGATATCGATAAAATATAAAATAGTAATGAAGTTAACCATATAATCGTTGAGATTAAGTTAATGGCTGCATGTCGAGTATACTTTAGGAACAGAGGGGTAACAAGACGGCGGAGGACGATGAAACGAATTTGCTTTTCTTGTAGGCAACTACCAAGGAGCAATAGTGAGAGATTGGGCTCGAAGATGAACTTGGCCGAGTAATGCTTCTTGCGATTCACCTTGTACGACAGAGTAATCACCGTTACCTGGTCGTTTTGGTTCTCGTAAGCTTTTCAATCAACCGCGAATTTGCAAAACGAGTCCTGTCTCGTCCCTCCTCTTCCTCTGCTTACCTGTTTTTCTCTCTTCCTGCTCAACGTCGACAAAGATCAAAACGTTTTGTCCTTTTCTAACCTTTGGACGGTAATAACGAAGTTCGGTAATCAAGCTCGCCCTGATAGGTTTGAAAGGGCAGGAAAAATGGACGAAGGCAGACCGTGATTCGCGAAGGCTACGTGGGCGTTCTTGTGATCCACCGTAGATCGCAAATTATGTAAATGATGAGCTTAGGAATTATGGTGGACTGTACGTCGACTAAATGCTAGGCTACCCAATACTGTAATTTCGGTTTGTCGAATCGAATCGTCCGGAGATGCCGAGATTGAAGAATGGGTAAAGTTTGACTTTTGTTTAAAGTGCATTTATAAATTAAATTATTCTCGTAAATTGTGTAAAAGTAGTTCATTGCCATTTTTGTAATTTAATAAAGTACCTGATGTATTTATTATCATTTTATTAGATCATTGCATTCTATTTTTTATAAAAAACCTACGGAAATGAATTTATATTGTACTTCATAAAAAATTCAGGATTAATTGTTAAAATTTACAGCATGAAAAATAAGGAGATAGATAGTTCTAGGAAGACAAGCAATATTATTAGTTATTTCTTATTAGGCAGTACAAAATAGAAAGTAAAAAATCTCTTAAACAATTTATTTTATAAATGTAAACCTTTCATAAAGATATAAATTTACAATGTATTAGTGCTTGAAACATACGGTACATTTTCCCTAAGTTGCTGTACTTTTAGAAGGTATAGAAAACTATTGTTTTTTAATTGTATAAGTTCACTATGGCTATTGTTTTAACTATAAGTATCAGAACAATACCTTTCCACGCTATCTAAGAGTAGGCCTTAACATACAAAAAACTTAGTCTTTTAAAAACACTAATATTCTGCAGAATGATAACTTTGTGAAGGATTTATATTTATAAATCAAATTTTTTAAATGATTTAAAATTCGATGAAAAATTTTTCATACATTCCACAAACTAACTGATACCTTTAAATAAACCAATTGTATAAATATTTGGATTGGATATATCTTATATGTGTGCTACACTTGAAGACAATCATTTCTAAAACGATATGAAAACCAATCTGAAAAAGTAAATACATCTCACAGTGTCCTGTCCCTGTCATATGACTAATTTAACGCCACTATTTTTAAGTGTTTACTATGTTATTCTTCATACTTCGACTATACACAAAAATTAATCGACTAATAGAATGACTACTTCAGTTCAAGACTTCAAAATTACTAAAGATCAAAAATAGTTTTAAATTGATTTGTAAAAATACTAAAAAAGAACTCTTCTTTAAAATAAGTTACTATCGTCTAATATTTTTGACAATGAAGAAAATACAAATCCATAACTTTGAGATGTCATCCAGAGTTAACTACCCCTCATTATTCTTCGTAAAATGGCTAATAAATTACAATAAATGATGACACTAAAAAAACTGCAGCTAACCATTGAGAAACGAAAAACCCTTGTCACATTCCCCCAAGCGTAAAAGTTGAAAAACAGATGACTTCATAACAGAGGCGTACACACATATGCGGGCAGGGAAAATGCAACAAGTAACATCCGAGTGCATGAAACAAAAGCGCGCGCTGCATCTGATCCGCGCGGGCGTCGCTCCTGTTCCCCGTTCTTCGTCCTCTAGCGAATACTGTTTCACCTACCCGGGAGCCCGCGTGTAGGAAACCGTCGCCGACACACGGGTAGCTGGTATCTCCAAAAATGCGGCTTGATTGTGCCCCGTCGTAAATCTTGGGCGGCGTGTTTGCGAATCGCAATTTTAATTCTCCCCCTTGGCTTTCGCTTGTGTTGCTTCGAAAGAGCCGTGAGGCAGGCCGATCTACGCGCGACGCCACGGGACCGAGCGGTCTCTCGTGGGTGGACCTCGGAAGAATTCGGCCGCGCTCGGCTGGTTTCGGCTCCGGCGAGCCTGCGTCGACGGTCGACCTCGGCCGACCCATGGCGGTCGGAGCACACAACTGGTTGTGGCTTTCGCGTGGCAGGTATGTCGCGCGCTCGTTCGTCCGTGCATTCTTGTTCCTTCGCGTCATCTGTTTTCGGTCTCGCGTTTTCATAGTTCGTTTCACGGGCCGTCTAACGAGCACGTCGGGCACGGTCGACGTTTCTCGCGGAACGTTTTTCGGGCCGTGTAAACCGGGCGAGGTGCCGTGTTTTACCGCGGGGGATTGAACGTGAATTTTCATGCGACGGGAACTGTCAAAAGCTTCGGCTGGAAGGGACTGGTCGGTATACACTATCAAGATCACGGCTTGTTCTCGACCGTCCGTGAACATTGTGCCGGAACAACGTACTGTCACATGAGCCTGCACCTGTGAAATCGTTCGCGATTTATGGTACACCCGTGGACCATGAGCCCGGACGGAAGACTGTAAACGTCGTACGGAGCGTAACGTAACGCGTGTTTACGGGTGCCCTAGTACATACGACCGGTTAAAGCACGTGGTGGACACGATGCTCCTGAAATTGGCGGTGTTGCTGTCCGTGCTCGTGCGGCCAGGTGCAAGTTACTTCAACCTCTTCCTCAGCCAGGCAGAAGTGCGGAAACTAATGGGTAAGCGAAAGTCTGCGATTTCTTTCACGGTTGCTCTTGCAGTTCGACTAAGCTTTCATGTGTTTAGATGTCGTGTTTTTTATAAATTGTATTGTAATATACACTTTTATAGTATACACGGTCTTAATGGGTAATAGGAATTATTGGTGCAATTTTACTGAAGTGATAAATAACAAAGAAAAGTAGCGAATATGGTTCAATCTGTGATCTCGATGTAAATATATGGGACTATTTAATGACTGGTTTACTCATGGTATGCAATTTTAAAGTATTATTTTTTGCAAACGAATAAAGAGCAATGATTCTTTTTCTATTATTCGTAAATATACGCTTTCTATGTAGATATAAATTTTACATATCTTTGTGATTACTTACTGTGTGTGTTACTTATTTATAGTTATAAATGAATAACAAGCAAAACATTTTTCTATGTATAATAGCACTAAGTTCTTTTTTTGCATTATCTTTTTATAGGATCTGTTGAACGCATTATAAATTTATGTGACAATTCTCATGATATTTAAGTTTTACCAAGCCAATAATATATGTATATTCCTTAGCACACTTAGCTTTTGTAAAATTTTGTACATATAATTGTAATCATATTTTCAAGCACGGAATAACACTTATTTACTTATTTCATTATGTAAATATTTGTATTATGACATAAAGCATGCTAAACAGAAATTTCAATATTAACATTACTAATATCTGAAACTAAAACCTTGTCTCAAAAATTATAGCCATGAAAATTGTAGAATTCCTTATTTAGCATAAAGAAATCTTAAAAATATCCACGAACCTCAGATTACTACTCCATAAAGTTTTGTTTTCAAAAGTACTAAGTCCATCAACAAAATAGTTCAACTTTGTTACGAAACAATTTGTTGTAAAATTAAATTTAGATTTTCAAATATTTAGATAACCTTTACACAAGTATCTTCTAATTTCGTGTATTTTTGATAATTAAGAACTGCTTCCGGTGAAGGTTTTCACGAAAGTGTTTATTATATTCATATCATTGAAAGTTGAATTGGTCAATTAGGTGAATTATCTTAAACGGACTTTGAAACAATTTTTTAATTTGGTCATCTGAATGAATTCATTACGCGTCGTTGAAAGTCTAACCACCGGCCGAAAGCCTATTAAGGTAGCACTGTACAGAATTGTAATTGAGTATTGGACAGTGAAGAATTACCGGTGTCAAGAGCTCATATACCATTGAGATCCGAAGTAGTTATCCTACTTTATGTAAAATTATCTACGGTGATAAATCACAAGTAGTGTGTAATTACAATTCTAATAAGTGTCTCGAAACTGGTACACGCAAAAATCTGTCTAAAACATAGTCCTCAAGAAAAAATGTATTCAATTTATTACTTGCACGACCCAAACGCATTTCAATATTCTGTCAGGTTCAATACGCTTAATGTCAGTTAAAACATATTTCATTCAGTATTGAGTCCTCTAGAAATATATAATCAAATCTAATTCGGGTATAAAATACATTGCAAAATCAATGATATTTGACCATTATAAAGTAGTTTTATAATTATAACAATTCTAGTAGTTATAGAAGAAATTTGATATAGGTACTATTTTAATTTTCTACCTGTTATCCTTTTTATTTATGTGATTTTTGGAAAATATGTGCCCTCAAAGTCTATTATAAACCTAAATCACTCATCAATGTAAATTATGCTTGACAAAGCTTACCTTTTTCAGGGATTTGGTAGAAGGGATGAAATGAAGTTTGGTGTACCAATAAGTAATCCACTATTTCTTTTTCATAAACTGGTAACACAGTTTAAGACATCTTTCTACCCTTTTCTCGTTTCGAAATGACTGCAAATATTGTATCACGAGGCCAAATATCACTAAAACAGCATTGGGTTTTGATTTGACAAATTACATATGATATAAAAATATAGTCGATTACTTACTGGTACACCTAATAAAATGGTACTTTAGGGACATGGTATATTTCCAAAGTATTGAGCACAGTTGACAAAACAGTCAATTCATTCAGCACTATTTAGACAATAATAGTGAAATCAATGCTAGAATTACTTTCTCAGATCCTCATTGTATCAAGAAAAACAGAAAACGAGGCTTGGGCCCTATTCTTCAAAAGGGACATTTCTCAGACAACCAACCGAAATCGATCATATTCTCTCATTTACAATACGATCTTTCCGAAAATACGATCCCGTCGAATACCTTGACGCCGCAATTGTCCAATCAAAATACGATTGGCCTCGTCAGCGGGTAGAGAGGGTAACGGTTCAACGACCCATTAGAATCACCAAGGGATAACCGTGGTTGATTTCAGGCAACCCGACAAATCCGTTCGACGATATACTCGGGATATACATATACACGGCCGTGTTCCATTCTCACGTTCCCGATTTCCTTTTTTACCCCGTGGGGCGCTCGGGTATTCTCCGACGAGGATTATTTCATTTGTAGTCGTTGTTAGCCAGAAATCGTCGTTCAAGCTATTGCACACGAATCGCCGTACCGGAAACGGGGTAAAAGCCACTCGACGCCGCCGCCGCGAACTTTCCAATATTTCCTCCATAACTTCCACGGCGGTGGATAATTCGTTCTCAGCTCGTTGATCCGCGAAAACCGTTCAACCACGTTGCGGAGGATCGGTCGCCACCTCGTGATGCAAAACTGAGGGGGTGTGGAAGAGTGAAGAGGAGTGATGTGTGTCCCCGACGACACCTGAACCGATGCGGAATCGGCGACTCGCCGATATTCACCCCCTTGCGACGAGAGACCGCGCATTCGCGCGTGGGATTGCGCGTTTTCAGCCACCACACGCACTTTGCGCCTCGTTCCACGGTCGACGACATCGTTTCATATGCATCCGAACAGCCTCTCCCGGCCAACTTGAGCGTGTTCCCCGTCAAGAGGTTCGCGTGAAATCGAATTGTGTTCAGCGTTGCCGCGCCTCGCCGCGCCGTTCGACCCAATGAAATGAATCGGTTTTGCACGCCTTGCTATTTAACCGAGGCGTTATTAATTGCGCCTATAAATTCGAAGCGTGTTAGCGGTTCCGCCGCCGCCGCGTGCACCAGAGATTCTAAAGAATTTTTCTGAGGTCTTTTTCTTTTTTTCTGTTTGTTCGTCTGGCTCTGGGTACCGTCAATTGCGATGCGGTAGTTAATTGGGATTTTTCGTTTGTCCAAACGGGATGTTTGAAGCCATTGAATATAGTACAGCGAGTGCCTTTCTATGGTTTAAAGAGACATACTTTATTATAGAGGTTTAATAAAATCTTCTTTGGTGCAGTTGTTATGTGTAACATGAAAGATTGATATAGAGTTTTTATTGGTAGAAGAAACGTTTATGTGCATTACCTCAGGAAATACTATTAAACAATAGAAAGAAGTTCGTACGATTCTTTTATCAGCAGTAAATTCGGAGCGAATTTGTCTTATTACCTACACATTTGATCAATACATAATATCGATAATAGTACCAAAGTTTATTCATCTATTTATCTAGATTCTATCAGGGACTTCTGCCGAAACGTAACCGGTATTATACCGGTATTTTCGCTTGTAACCCTGTGTGTATAAGCACTACTCTTATAGAAACCGAAAAAATACCAGTATTTATTTCGGTTTTCGGTAATATATCGGTTTCGGTATAGCTTTGATGGCATAATACCGGTATCAAAATCATACCGGTTTAAGTCCCTGGTTTCTATATAGTATTATCATTTTTCAATTGTTTCGATGTTACATTCTCAAAAGACAATTAATTGTAGTTACTAAAGATATCAGAATAATGCCTTTTCACTTTATAAATTCATTAGATTGAAATTTTTAACAAAACTATCCTATATGCTAAAGATATTTTCACGTCGCTGGATATCACTTACTTCTTTTCGTGTCAAACTTTTCGACAAACAAGTATTTTCATAATGGTAATGAAATCCATACTGCAGTAAACACAATTGTTTATATTAATACCCACAATTGAATTAATGGAAATACAAATTTGTAAAACTTGATAGATATAGGGACTGAAAAATTAAATAGTGAGGTACGATTGAAATTAATTATATTTTAAAGGAGTCATGATTGCCTGAAATTTCTACTACTTTTTCAGTACTTAATAGATACTTCATGGTGCGTGGTCATGGATTTTACTAAATAAATGATACATAATTGATATTATTCCATCGAAGAGAGTGAGTAAATCGTATACCTATAGTGTCATAAGTATACTCGTATGCATCCAAGATAATGTAAAAATTTTACTTCTTGTTAGCTTTGAAGACATTTTACATCATTTCCTTTTTTCCTGGTTTAGAATAAAAATAGCACGAATTCAGCAAATACGATTAGTTTACGTGATTTTGTGAAATATTATATTCCATGGAGCGTACTATTAAAGTTGTATTGGTACTTATTACATTAATGTTTCGTCAATGATTACCATTTACAATATTCTAGAAAATGCATATCAGTTATAGAAATATAAATGCAATTTTAATCTGAGTTTTATAAATTATTTGCGACTATAACAGTAAAAAGTCTATCATAATATACTCTATATAAATATAGCAGACGTTTTTTTATTTGTGAAGACTTTGAAAAGTCTTGTAGGAAATATCAGCGTTCCATACGGGGTAGCTTTCAACGCGAAATGTAGCGTGGCGTATGAATTTGGCGCAAATAGATATTAATAAAAATTCCATCCTGATGAAGTGGCGTTTCTAGACCTATAAACATAGTAACGTCTCCTTCTGTTTAACCTAAACACAAAACCCATGTATGTTCATACAGTTTTGTTAAATAATAAACTTAATCTAACTGTAGATTCTACTCCGAAAATAATTTTGTGCTTAGTCCACATATTTCATCGATAGTAGACCGCATATTTTATATACAGTACGAGTATAAAACGGTGCTGTGTAGAATTTATGTGTTGCAGAATTTAATTTTGAAAGTAACGTTCAGTGTATACAAGCCGTTACATTG